GTCAAAGTTCTTCAAAAAATTTATCTTTTTGGAAATATCGTGAGAATGGTACGATGTATTTTAGTGATACTCGCTGTGAATTTGTTCTTATGTAAGACTCATATTTTGATGAAACAATCGAGTTCAGCCCTTTTGGACAAGTGGTGAATTCTTGAGTGTCGTGGTACAAAAGCTACCAGAACTTTTTAGTTGGAGGATGAATTGTGGATTATTGAATTCAGGATCATTTGTGCACAATTTTGTCCTCTCTGTAAACTTTTGTAGCATTTATAGTTTTTGCGAAAAAAATATTTCTGTTTTCTTGCCATTTAACAATGTTAGACATTAACTGCAAATGTCGTGATACGAGGCATAAAATCATTGTCAATCAATCTCACAAATTCGTTTTGAATTACCTTTCCTAATGAAGAAGTGACCGATATGGTCAAAGCATTAGGCTTTTGCGAAGACAATTTGCGTGAAAGCGTACGCGTACGCAGATTTGCATTAGTATATCTAGCATTGCTAAGTGACTAGAAAACAGACATATTTTTTTACGCAAAAACTATGAATGCTACAAGAGTTTACAGAGGGGACAAAATTGTGCACAAATGATTAGTGCATCAACCTAAAAAAATGAGTTAATTTCATCCTCCAACTAAACTGGTAGTTTTTGTACCACGAAACTCAAGAATTCAGCACTTGTCCAAAATGGCTGAACTCGATTGGTTTATCAAAATATGAGTCTTACGTAAGAACAAATTTACAGCGAGTTTCACTAAAATACATCGTACCATTCTCCCGATATTTGAAAAAAGATAAATTTTTTGAAGAACTTTGACCATCAATAGCAGAGGAGCCAGACATTTTTTGTTAATAAAAGTTAGGTCAGATCGTCTTCTTTTGATCCAAAGAATATCGCAGTACCCTTTTGATCATGAGCTTACGGGACACCCTGTATATATTTACAGTAGTAAGCTAACAATACTTAACAAGATAGAGATACAGGCACGTTCCTTCTTGTCAACCTCAACTATGTGCGAACATTTTCAATCAAAAATGGTTTTTCTTGACAACCTTGTTTATGTATTAATGTTATGATTAATGACTGAAAGCTCTTTCGGTATGTGAATTAAGATATTTACTGCTATCACATATGAATGTATCAAAAATTACATCCGGATTGTCCGTAGAGTCTGAAAGTAAATTAATGTACCAACAGGAATTCTGCTTTAAATTTTACACAGACAAAACTCCTGTAAGTTGACAAAAACAATATTTTTTACGACACTTTTTTTAAAGCATTATTTACTACCAGAACCAAACAACAGGAATATAATATAACAAACTTAATATTAATACAAATACTTTCATGATAATGGATTATGTTACAGTAAGTTATTTTATTTGTTCTTTTAAACATCTCTTGCCCATATACGTTCAACCACGAAGGACATTTTTATTAAGATATGGGCTAATGCGGAAATCACGATTTTATCTACATACCTACTGGAGAAAAAAACACGGTTGACAAGCCACTAATCTTGAAGATAGATTAGATAAAAGCTCTGAATATTTGCTAATTGGTGCTCAGTGATGAAAGACAAATTATAGGATTATGTAAAATTCAGACACATTGACTATAAGACAAGCTTTCGAGAGATGAACGATGGAAGAATAGAGCAAAAGAATGATCACTGCATTCATTTTTCACAATTCCATAATGTTCTAGATGGGAACGCGGTTTTACATTTTATTAGCAACTTTTGAGAATTGTGTAATTTACAGAAAACAAGAAGTAAATAATGTGAATAATATAATAATAAGAAGTTTATTGCGGTTTTACCTATGACTTATTGATCAGGAAGTGATAGTGTGTATTGAGAGAAGGTTCTCGAGTGAATGTTTAAAGACGCACTGAAAGAATCGACGTGTCTCTTGAGTATATGAAATGTTACATTTAATTTCAAAACATTGCTTGAAGAACGGAAATGTGAGTATATTTAGAAAACACGAAAATGGAATGCAATAATTTTTACTCAATTTACCACTGGGGTTTAGTGACTAATTATTCGTTTTTATGTGGTGGAACTAAAATATAAACCACCTTTATTCTGCTCCAAAAAAAACGAAGAATTTATGAACAAACAGATGACAGCTAACTTATCTTTTACGTAAACTCAACTTCTATCCACCACAAGGAGAATATATTTTTTCAGTTTTGCCCACTCTGCATATGTAGATATAATTACACAGCGTTTCTTTGTTGGAACTAAAAAGGAGTTTGATATCAAACTGTAGTGAGAATATTTTTTCAAATTTTGTTTTATTTTGAGTAATTGAAAAGCGTTGAAATAAAATACGACATTCAAATTTCTTAACTGAACCTTTGAAAAACCTCAATTGCGACTTAGATCAAGTACTACATCGTGAATAGACATTTTTTATGCAGTTGTTATTGCAAATAAATATGTATTAATTACTTCTGATCATTAAGCAAAAATTTTACAAGACAGAAAGACAATCGAAAATTAGTTGCTAGCAGTCAGTTCGATTGTGGTAAGCTAATTAAATGAACTTTTTTATTCAAAAATAAATCACCCCTGGTTTTCCTCTCAATTGTTTTGAAACACTCTGTATATACATATGCAAAAATGTCTATAATTCTGGAATGAATACGTTTTGTCACTGTTTCTCAGATAGTCCGCAAGATGTAATCAAAATAAGTGTGTAATAATTAAATCATAAAAAATTACAATAATGCCATTCACTATGTACAGGGTTATTGATTGAACTTTGGCCATCCCGTTTTTGCCTCTAATTTGAAATTTTGAGAAAAATGTTAAATACAAAAGTTGTAGATATTAAATTTGGTTTATTTTAAGATAATACCAATTGATACAGGGTGTCTCAAATTTAAGTGGCGGTACAAACTTACATTTTTTAAAATGGAATCGCGCACTTTTTATTTCATGTTCGAACTATACGCAAAATGCCAGTCTTCTTGGATCTAAATTTTCCATATTGATCTTCAACTGCTTTTGAGTTAATAACCATTTAAATATTCGGGCATTCCATAAAAATTTGCGTTTGGTCACGCACTTGAATTTGAGACAC